ATTGGACATCAGGAAGAAGTTCTTTGCCTTGCCTAATTATTTTTTCTCCCTACAAAACAGGAGAAAATTTAGTTTCTTCCTAGAAAACTCATTTTACAGTACTTCTAAGCAGAAGATGGGTAACACTTCTCTTTGAGACCCCTGATTTTCTCAGTTTAAGTTCTAATGTTGCAAAAAAAAACCAAAACACTGAATTCACCTAGGGATGCAGCTTAAATGTCTGCAAGATGAGACTGCTAGTTAACTGCACACAAGATGAAGGCTTTTACTGCTATTCCTATCCTTGTATTTTAATCCTCCTTCCCATGCATTGATGGAAAAAGCCCCCAGCGTCACTGTTAAATGAGCCTCAGGTGGAAGGGGGAGTGGTCAAGTAGCACCTGCCTGCCATAAAGACGGTGAGCTGATGGCTTGGTTAGTTTCTTGCTGGGCTGTGAGTAGCAGCAGCAGTAGTAGCATGGACCTTAGTTTTGAGGGTTACTAATAGGTCAGGAGTAGCTTGGTTTTTGTAGGGCCTTTCCTTTATCGCTTTCTCTCAAAGGTTAAAATAATTCTGGGAGCTTCGGCTTAGGAGAGTGAGGAGAATCTGTAAGTTTTTTGGTGCTTACAAGACCTGGACAGGCCATTCTAAATGGAAACTGAAGAGGGCTCTAGTGCTCCTGAAAGCTTTCTGAAACACTAGGCTGGACTGTGTGCTGGTTTGTAATAGGTCTTGAATTCTTTTTTTTTTTTTTTTTTTCCCCGGTACCTTTGAAGCTCTTAAGCTCTCTAAAGAGCTGAGATGTTGTGTTTTGGGGGTGGTTTTTGTGTGTGTGGTGTTTTGTTTTTTCTCCTGTGTAGTTATTAAATCTGTGTTCTTTGATTTCTTTTATTCTCACTCTTATGTGTGACAGGGTTGTATCACTTGTATGGGTTGGAGTGGGACTGAACCTAGTGTATTAGTTAACTGAGGAAACATGTAAGTGTGGGAGGAAGTGTCTTGTGAATTTTGTGTGACTTTAAATGTGAATTTATGCGTAGGGTTTTTGCCTTTTTTGTTACCTATCACTTAGTTTAAGCGTAGAAAACATGTCACTGAAATACTTAGTTTATTGTTAGCTGTCATTGTTATTAAGTGTGTTTATAAAGTAAAAATCCTGAATTAGAGTTCTTATTGTGATTTTAAATATAACATACATGTTGGCATTAAGAAGTGTTTTTCTCATGGGACACCAAACTGATTGTGTGAAGCCTTCTACTGTTCCTCTTTTGCTTTTGTGGTTTGGTTTGGTTTTGAGGCTTCTTGTTTGAGGTTAACTGAAGACTAGGTTTTAATGAGCTGGAATACAACTTGAGTTGATGTGTGTGGCATAGGACTAGGTTAAAGTTCCTGGTCCTGCAGCTTTAAAATGTGTTGTAAGGTTGGCTTGAGGTACTAATAATGAGAGCTGCATATAAAATCTTAGCAAAGGAGAGCTAAAATATTTGACCTTGATAACAATGTCAGTTTTGTAGTTTCTGTTTTGAAGATAGTATTTTTTTTTCTGGAAAGCTCTTGTTTCACTAGGCTGGGAGAGGAATGTCTGAATTCTGACAGAGCATAACAATTGCTGAGTCATGTGGTTTTTCAAGTGGTTAATCCTGATCACTTGTCTCTTTCAGTGTTCAAAAAAAAAGAAAATGAATACTCCCCCAACTTCAGAAAGTGGGCCATATTCCACAAACTACACAAGACCCTTTTTTTATGCACAGTCAACAGCACAACAGCCTTTTCCAAATCCGTGGTACCTCAGTCATGCATACAGTCCGTACTATGTACCTGCTCCAGGTAAGGCAAATGAGCTGTCTGTGGTAGCTTTGCTTAGTAAACTATTGTTGGAGTGGAGGAAATAAATGTGTATCTGTGTTAACAAGCTTCTTGAAAGTTTAAGGTAGAACGAATGCAATGTTTTAGTTGTCAAAGATGTGACTTATGAAGTGTTAGTTAAATGTGTAGCTTCTATGCTAGAAAGTTTCTGTTCCTGGAGACTGGAAGCTAAGCAAAATAGTAAGTAATGGTTATCCTACAGATACAGAGCTCATGAATGGGCCTAACAAGTAATATGTGTGTGTATAAGTTCCATACATGCATGCATTATAGGTATAGATAAATATAAACTTAAAAATCCACACAGAAACAGTACTGTTAAATATATATGGTATGCCTATGTTAGCTTCTATCTAGAGCTATCTTTCTCAAAGACAGTGCTATAGTATAGTCCGTAAAACAGCAGAGACTTGCAGAAAGCTAATTGGTGTATGTATGTTCTGAGGAATAAACTCAAGCTCTGGTTAAAGCTTAGCTTTAAGATAAGCTGTTCCATAACGGGGACCTCTCTCTGGGCTTCTGCACCAGATTTGTTTCCAAGCATTGACAGGTGGAGTATTTTACTTACCAATGTGTCTGATCTTGTAGCTGTCCATGTGTATCCATGCAATTATTAATTGGCATGACTTATTTAAGAAAGAAGATATATTTGTCTCTTCTCTTTTTCTTTTTTTTTCCCCCCCTTCCAATGTCTAGGCTTTCGAAGTGGAAATCCCTATTTTCCATTTTATTCTGTTGCACTCCATGAGTACCCTGGCTTTTTCGTTCAACAGCATCCAGTGCATGCAAGAATTAACAGAAGGCCTTATTTTAATGCTCCCCCACCTTCCCCTATGTTTTATCACGCAACAAGATTTAGGCACTATGCTGCCCCTGGGAAAAAAATGGAGACAAAAGAAACACAGACGGATCCTAGACAGCCTGAAAATAAGCCAAAAAAGCATCGAGATACCCGTATGGAAACGAAAGGTTGTGATGCAGGAAATATGACCTGTGTTTCTTCTGGTATAGGTACAGAGACTGAAAGTACTTCAGAGAAACAAGATTCATCTGGATCCTCTGTTGTGGTAGATAGAGAGTTTAATACCAAGAGCCCTTCCAGCTCTACACAGTATAGAAGTCTTCCTACTGGAAGCTATGCCTTTGAGAAGGAAGAGGTGAGGATAGAATATGGAAATGGCTCTCCAGCTATTCAACTGTGGAAGTCCTTTAAAGAAACGATCCCCTTGTATGATGTGGCAAGTGGTAAACCAGTCCCAGAAAACATAGTGCAGCGTGACATATTTGCTGTTAGCTCTTGTGAAGGAATGATATATGAAGGGGAGAAAGTGGTGCCGGGAGCTTACTTAGATGAGAGAAAAGCTGTTCTCCCTTCAAAACAGGGTGTTGAAACAGTGCAAGAAAAAGAGGGCCAAAATACTGAAGCAAAGCTGGATGCGGAAAAGCAGGAGAATACAAGTCAGTGGGCAAAATCCCCCCTAGGTGAAACCATGGCAGTGAAAATCACAGAACTGGCAAGATCTGTTAGTGTAGACCAACCAGCGGTAAGGCAGGATGTGGCAGTACCAAAGAAATCTAGCTCTAAAAAATCTACAGGCTCAAAAACTTCTAAAGAAGAGCCCAGCTTTAGTCAACAAGCAGGACTACTTCCATCTAGTATGGAGGTAATAAGCGATTTGAGTTTTCAGCAGAAGAAGCTGAATCTAAGCCACAGTGCAACCAATGAAAGTCAAACAGATAAAAGTATTTGGTGTGACGAATCAGTTGAGAAGTACGTTCCCTCTAACAGTTGGCTGGCTTGTTTGGACAACGTGGACACGAACTACAACTATGATGTTTGCTTGCCACAAAGGAAACGTCAAAGTGTACTCAGTCTTTCCTCTGATATGTCCTCTAGAGAGGAAGGATCGTCGATTGATACTCCCCCTGTGTCTTATTTTGTCCCTGACTATGTGCTTCAGAAGAGCACGTTTACTTTCCAGGACAGTACAGAGGGCTTGGAGAGAGAGAAGATTAAAAGTGGTGGGTCCCTTAATGAAGATGAAGCGGAAGGAAGGGAGCAGATGAACAGCTTGAATGACCAAGGTGTTAAAAATCCTTCAACCATGAAGATTAAAGAGGCTTCCAGTAAAGGTAGGAAGCTGGGAGCCCTTCCTAGATCTTCTAGTTGGAAAAAAATCAATTCTCTCAAGAAAAAATCAACTAAGTGTTTGTCAGAACTTGAGGACTCTGAAGAATACTCTGTGAGGGAAGAAGAGGATGAAGAGGAGGAGGAGGAGGAGGATATGGATGAAACTGAATATTTCTTTCAAGAAGCCACTCCATATGGAATCTTGATGCCTAGTAAAGGAAGTTTCTACCAAGTTGGCCCGAAGGTGCTTTGGAAACCCCCTAAAAATGCTATACCGGCTCAATTAATTAGCTGGCCTGCTCATGAGAAAATAAAAACTAGGAGTGGGCTTGGTGAAGGCCTTGGTGTAGTTTACAAGGCAAAGGAGGAAGAACAGGATGAGGTTGTATACAGCGACTATGGGTATTATGGAAGAAAGAGGCCAATGGCAAGAAGAGGACTTGGACACCAGCGAATGCTACGGAAATTCCTGGGAGGTAAGCTAATAGCTGAGGACAAAGTGCTGCTTAATAGAATGCACAAAGAATACCGAATTGCAGGTGCAAACCATGGTATGAAGCAGTGGGGAGACTGGAAAATGTTGTAGCTTCAGGTTTGGCTTGGAGCCAGGACTACTGAGAACAACTCTGAGGCAGAGAAGGTTTATTGCAATTTTGTTAGCTACTGCATGAGGATCCCATGTATTCACAACCAGCAGAGAATTTTGCAGGAACTCGTTTGATATACTTTTCTGATATTAGTGGCACTTCACTTATTTGAAAAGCTTAAGTTGAACTACACTTTTATCATTGATTAATAATATCATTGAAACTTGGCATTTAAATTCACACAAACATTCTGACCCTCCCATCACAGACCCGTGTTAGGCAGACTAAACAGGACTAAGGTCATTAGTCTGTTGGCTTTACCCTATCCTATAACCTCTCTGCAGAAGAGGAATCAAACCATTTATTTTTATTTTATTGCAGCTGCTGCTCTCACTGATAGCAGCAGCAGTTTTGCTGTATTTTCATACATACAATGTGAAACTGTATTAAATTTGATCTGGAAAACAGTGTTTTATTGTCTCAAAGGTAGATATTGACAGGAATTGGGTTTATTTGAACTGAGAATAAGCAGAGTTACCAGTCAGGGCTGATAACTGGTTATGTGGGTCCTTCAGGAAGTGGCTGCTGTTTAGTGCAGTCTTGTATTGTGAAAGACATCTAAAATAGGGCCATCTGTGCTTAATGACAGGCCAGTGTTCTTAAATTTAATTTTCTGTGTATACAATTTGTAGACTTAACGCAGCTTGTAACTTCTGTCAAATGTGGTGTCCAGAAAACTGTTTTTAGTTTAATAAACTCTTACAACTAGATTCAGTAGCTAGCTCTGCATTCTGACTTGTGGATCAAACAGTATTAACATCAGCCAACTGAATACTGACCTTAAATCAATTTGCTATTTTTAGGAAGGCTGTTAAGGGAGAATGTGGGGATACCACCTGAAGAGTATTGGATTAGAAGTGGTGCTAAACCCAAATTCACTAGCCAAATACATGGTAGTGTCTTGCCCTCAGCCAAAAGCAAAGAGCAAGGTAAGACTTATGTCCTCAGTGCGTTTCTGTTTGTAAGGAATGTTCAAAAGGATGTGATACAAAACAGCAAGCTTATATTTGGATGAGATTTGAGGATGATAAAACGAATTCTCATAGCTCGGATATTGATGAAATGCCTGTCAGTCTGGCATATCTCCGTGTACACTTATATCCAACTCAAACATGTGAGTAAGGATGGGATTATAGCTACCTTTTTTTTTAAAGGTATGGGAAACTAAAGCTTCAGATGCTTTGATATGGCTGAGCAAAGACCGTATTTCAGTGAAGCTGCTACTGCTGTAACCTGTATTAATTCTTTACCAGATAATGCTTCTCTTGAGTGCATGTGCAATATTAGTTCCTATGCATCCTAATCATCAAAATTAGGAAGTCATGTGTGACAGCTACAGAGGCCGATGTCCAGAGAAACTAGCATGTTCCGAGAAACTGTTGCCCCACTGCTGCTAAAGCATGTCTGAGTGCAAATCATCTTGATGTGGTTAAGGGAAAGATGAAATCAAGGTTATTCTAACAAAGTAAAAGGTTAAATAGCCTCCATCTCTCTCTCCTCCTAAAGCAGAATGGTCTTTTTCTTTACAATTAAGGTCTACATGGAGTTCAGCTCTATTCCTAGATGCTCCTTAAGGGTGTAAGTGCTGTTGGAACAACAAGAGTTTGCTGTAGTCCAAGTATTATCATTGTCATGGGTCTCATGCTTTCAAGTATCACAGGATCAGTCAAATATCAGAGTGTGAAGTTAGCTTCAGAACAGACTGATGACTTGCCTCTCTTCAGTTCAGTGATAATATACATCAGGCTTCCTATATCAACAGCCCAGCAGACTATTCTTTAGAGTGTAATCCTTAGAGGTCTCCACCTGCATTGCATACCTGCCTGAGCATATTGAGGTTTGGGATTTGCCTCCTGCATTGGAGGCTTTCTATCCACAGACTTCCAAATGTGGGGCTTTTTGTGCTAGCCTGCTCTATAAAAATTGAAAATGCTTCAGCAGCACTGTTCTTGGCTCCTTACAATAATTCATACAAATAATAAAATAGCTTTAAAGGTAACAAAGTTATTTTAGCTTTCAGCATGTCCCTTCTAAGGGTGGCATACTGAGGATGTTTGGCCTTTGTGTTACTCCCTGCTTTCTCTTCTGCCTTTTCCAGCCTGTGTGGTTTGAAGAAGCTATCACATTCAGTATTAGGAAGCAGTAACCAGTTTCTTCTGATTGCTGTTCATGCCAATAGGTGCCTCAAGTGCTAGTAAAATTACATCCTCTTTAAAATGTCGCTTCTATTAGGACTGGTTTCTTCAAATTAATCTTAAGTGCTCTGCAAGGAAGGTGGCTTGGCTAAACAAGATGCATGGCTTTAGCAGTAATATATGCTAAGTTTGACTTCTTGAACTCTGTACATGTGGTGCGTAACTTAAAACTCTCAACTCTTCAGACCTATTTTTAAAGATGAGTAGTGAGTTGGGTCACTTGGACAGTCACCAACTAGTCTTGAACACTTGAAAAGTGAACTACAGGAGAATTATCCATATCTCGCTGGGTTCTTTTTTTTTTTTGCCACATAAACACTTACACAAGTTATGACCCAAAATATAGTTCAGCCAGAACTATGGTTAGACAGCAATTAAATGATGTAGGCAAAAAAAACCAACCCCGTTGCTTGAAATATGTAGTATCAGTTTTATCTGCCACTAAAATGGGCACATAGAGGGAAGGAGAAAGAGGAATGCTACAGGCCAGTGGGGGAAAGTCAAGCCTAAATTTGCTTTAGGACTATGCTTTGGAGAAGTAACACCAGTTCTACCTCATTATTTAGGGTGCCCACCCGTGGTTAAACCAAAGAAGAAAAGATTAGGCAAGCCACCTTCAAAACGCAGAGACACAAGATGCGAGGGGGAGGAAGCGTGGGAGATGCCTAAAAGCAGTGTACGCAAAGGTACGTGTACCGGCTAGCTTGTGAAATAATAGCAAATGCTATGTATGCAGACAGAAATGGCAAGCTGAACTTTGAACAGTTACTCACCTTGCTATGAATACTGTTTCAGCTTTGTCCAGGTTAGGTTCTTTCCCCTTATTTGAGGAGGGAGGGGAAAAAACCAACACCAAACCCCAGTATTTTTAGTTTAGTTGCTTTTCAAACTCTTCTGCTAACTTTTAAAATTTTAGTAGGGTCCTGTGTCACTTTTACAGTATTTTGGCTGAGACAGACCCATAGCTTAAAGAAAAGGGTATACTGCAATTCGATGCAACACAAATGCATATAGGTAATTCTTAAGAACTTCAAATTTCTAGAGTAGGACCTTGTTACTTTGGAGAAAGACAGGGAAAATCACATTGAGTAGGTTCAATAACAAATATGTGCATTTGTGGGAGAGTCTGAAATGGTTATAAGTAGAAAAGGGTGAGTACGTACAAGCTACTTAAAAGATCAGAATTCCCTCTAGCAAAGAACAATCTGGCATAGTAAAGCTAACTTGGATATTCTGTCAGTTAATGGAAGACAGTGTCTCTCATGTTAGCCAGAGGATTACAATCCCATGTATTTGCAAGGTTGGAAACAAACTTAGACTGAAGCATCTTATTAGTCAAAACTGGTGTGTCAGCCCTGATGTATTTAAACACTGCTGTTAAGCCTTTAATTCCTCTATGCTTTTACTAAAAAGGATCAGCAGTTGCATAATCACAAAATAGTTCTTATGTTTGCCCTAGAAATAGTTGGTATTTCTTGGATTCATTCAACAATGTAGTTACAAAAGCACACTGAAAATGTTATGAGTTTGGTATGGAACTGTAAACTGTCTGTCATACTGGGATATTCTGCAGTCCAACCCCATTCCTGCAGAATTTATCCTTGCTGGGAAGGTGACTACACAGTTCTAGTATCAGCCATCAGTGTCCTCTCCTGCAGCAGAAAAAAGCAGTCATTGATGTCTAGTCTTTCTTGAGAAGCAGACTGACATGTATTATTTGGAGGGAGAATGCACACCTTAATGTCTTTTTTCTTTAGGGTGTGGAACAAGAAAGTCCCTCTAAGAGAAGATCACTGCAAACATTGGGGCAGGAGGGGAGAAAAATAAATGAATTGGAGGTTTGCATAAATCCAAAACTCAGTTGTTGTTATTCTCTTGTATGTTTTGTAAGCTGCTCTGCACTCTTAAAGGGTACAAAGTAGCACTGTAATGACTGAGGACACTATTAAAATGTAATTAAGTATTTAACACTAAAGTCACCTTTTTACAACTAGCACAATACACTATTTAAATAATAAATTTAATAGAATTGCACTTTGAGACTTCTTGTATTCCATGTGTATGCGGAGGGGGAAAAAAGTTTGACAGGGAGGTATGTGCATCAATAGCACTACAGCACACAACTCACTGCTGTCCTGTTCTTGAGCTGTGCAGGATGGTGAAGCTGGGCAGTGTCACTGCCTCTCATACTCTGTCTATATAAAGTGGACATAGGTACAAGATTCAGAGTCATTTTCCATTAATATAAATGGGTGCTGGTATTTATCTTCAGTCTATGTATTCCCAAAAGACCTGGAGTCTCTTGAATGCCAACTTTGGCACCGTTTAAATGCTTAGTGAGGAAATGAATCGTGCTTCTCAGCACGCTAGCACTGGCTGCCAGTCAGCCCTATTCAAAATCTTCCTCTTACTGCAACTGTTAGCTTTAATTCTGAAATTGGCTCTACTGAGTTTCAGTAGAGAACTAATAAAATCTTTATGTATGGGATATGATGGAGATCTAGAAAACTGGTAATGACATGGGGCAAATTAATAGGAATTGGTTGTTCCCATGTCTTACTTTACAAGAACCAGGGTGTATGAAATTAAACTAGTAGGGAGCAGTTTGAAAGTAAATTAGGTTCCTTCCCTAATTATCAATTAAATCTCTAGAGTTCCTTGCTGAAGGAAACTGCAAAGTTTAAAAGAAGTGACTGGATAAAAAAATCCAGGGTTACTAAATACTAAAACATATGATTCAAAGTACCTGCACTACAAGCAGTGGAGGCCAAGGCAGTGTTTTCGTGAAATAACCAAAGTAACACCACTAGAGTTTGCACTGCTGTGCTGTGTAGGTGTCCACTCTGGACCCCAAGTGGAAAAAGATACTGAGTTAAACTGACCTTTAGTCTGGTACAGAACAGTGATTTGGTATCTCAAAAGGAACTCTTAAGTTGCATTTGATATAAGCTAGAGAATGGTCTTTTACAGTAATCATGATTGTTCAAATAGTAAGCCATGGCAAGTAAAATGGGAAGGACCCATTAAGAAGGAAATGGGATGACAGACTAAGGAAAAATATTTATTTTTATTGAACTAAACTTTAGAAGAACCTTCAATGAGGAAAGCTAAAGTAACTGAAGAGACCTTTAGGCTCGCTCTGCTCTAGACAAGCTTGAGTGAGAACCCCCCTTGTAATGCATCAGGTGAGTACAAGCTGTGGCTTCCAGCATCTGTCCAACAATCACCAATGCTATAAATGTGAGGAGCTTCTCAGCACCAGAATACAAAGAACCTGGCCATTATAAGTCTCCTCATGCTGTTTCATCTGTCAAATTTTTTTTCTGGTGAAAGAGCCAGGAACTCTGAATTTGTTGATGATGCTGATACAGGGAACTATTAGGAGTCACCAGTAAATCCCATCACAGGAAGATTTGCTAAATATTATGGGGGGACAAAACACGACTCCATGTTCAAGCCCTGGGAATAAGATAAAGAATCTTTTTGTAGTTAGGCTTTGACTACCTTGTTTTTCCCCAGAACATACTGTGAATGACTGGCAAGGAATGGGGTTACTAAGTGACGTTTTACTAAATGACTCTTGGATGCATAGGAGGGAGAAAACACGTTTTAATGTATACTTTCCCCTGTTGTCTTTTGCAAAGCTCTCAGGAGAAAGTCTTAAGGAACCATGGAATCAAATGCATTTGATTCCACTGCCAATGCTCGCTCCCCGGCTGTTAGAGCTTCACCATGCCCTTTTTTTTTTTTTTCAATATAAGTCTAAGTTCTAGGAGTCTGTATGTCCTTAGTCCTTTCAAAGCAAGTATTTTTCTTTCTCCTGTTGCAGTGTACCAATATCTACCATAAGAGTCCTCAAATCACAGCTTTATACCACTGTACCTTGATGTTTCAAAAAGAAATGCTTATTCCAGTGCAGTTCACAGCTATCTCATTCTTCCTCTTCAAGGCTGCCTTGCAAGATTATTTAAATGAAAAGCGTGGTCAATCCACGAGGTCAATTAAGAATGCAGAACTTTCCCATCTTCCTGCTTAGAGGTTACTTACTACTGTTCTGTGGCTTATATGCACATCAATGAACATCAGTGATGTTCTTGTGGGGTGGTTCATAAAACAATTCTAGTAAACAAAAAAATAAGTTGGAGTTTACTTCCCCAAGCCTTTTTTAAAAGGGGGGAGGGGAAAAAGCCACCGCAAATGTACCAAAACAACTGATACTTCAGTATATGCAGAAATTAATCTTTTTCATTTCTAACATGAAAACACCCTTTTTAAATAACTAAACCCACTACTTCTTTACAATACTGTTGAACATCTAACATTATTACACTTGGCTCCCACTCCTGTGATTTGGAGAACACTTCAGGTGTCGCAGAATTGCGTGTATTAATAACGACGATGACGAGATTTTGCTACACAAAACCCCCCAAGTTTTGCTGATAGTGTAGTTCTGCCTTAAAGTAAATCCCCCTGATTAACAATTTTGCCCCCTTCAGCAGCGCTCTTTATTTCCCTAGCTGCCAAGACTGGGTTAAGGACAATGAACTTCAGCGCACGGGCAGTATCCAGAGAAAATAAAGCACACAGTACAACCTGCATATTACAAGCACTGTAAATGAGCTGTCAGGGCTCTGCCCGGTGCAAGCTGCAGTCCCGTGACAATGAGGCAGTGTATGTGATAAAATACCTTCATGGAGAAAAGACACTTCAATGGGCTGCTCAATCTGCTGAGTTCTGCAGATCTGTTGGCGATACCTCAGTAGGCACTGCTTCCTGCTGGTAGCCACACGTGCCAACGCAGGAGCCCAATCTGACCGAGACGGATGACCGTTAGCGCAAGTCTCACAGCATAAAGATCTGGTTGGCCGAGTATTGTTTAATGCAGCTCTCTCCTTTCTGGCTGCAGCACTGCAGAGGGGCAGAAGAGGACAGCCAGCGTAGGATGCTGTACGTATCCATCTGTATGTTCCGAGTTTAAGAAAGCCCTTCCTGGTGGTTTCTTCCTCCTCCTTTGGATCTTTCTGTGGAGCTCACAAGTAGAGGTCAATAAGCACAGAGCAGGTGACTGCTGTCAGTCAGATTCTGACTTCTCATTAGATTTAGATGATTTACGCTTTCTCTTCTTCTTTTTCTTTTCTTTTTTCTTTTTTTCCTTCTTTCTCTTTTTTTTCTTGTGTTTATCTCTACATTCTGATGAAGTGGAGCTGCTGCCATCTTTGTCATCCTCATCACTGTTATCATCATCATCTTCTGAGGTTGAGTCCTCCAGGAGCTGCTTCAGTTGCTGTATCCTGAGTTTAAAAAATGTGAATGAGAATCCTTTCTGGCTCTCCCTTACCTGTAATAATTTATTCTAGTTTTCACCTGTTCCCTTTCTAGCTTGAGAAATGGACAGTGCATGCAAGGGGCAGGGGAACACTTCCTGCTTTGCTGAATTACACTCCAGTGATAATTTTCACAGACTGACAAGAGCAACCTCTTTTGAGGTGAGCAGTCTGTTCTCAGGGACTTTGCGCCCCACAGGATATCACAGACTAGCTTCTTGGCCAATATTTATGTGTATAATCCCAACGTGGATGCATCCCAATATGGAAGCTGACAGAGTAGACTCTACTTTAGATGTGGAGGTATTTTTGACAGGTGCTTTTCCTTTGAACTTTCATGGATTACTGGTAAATGGGGACAAACTATTTGTTTATTTTATTGTCTTCAGTATCCTCTTCAAGGGTTTGAAGCAGCACACCCATAGCAGCAGTACTACTCCATGGGATACCTATGGTTTGCTCTGTTACCTCACTGAGGCACTTTAACTAAGCAAGCTTTAAAGAACTCTGCTGCTTTATGGATTGAACAGTGACCTCACATGAGGAACAACAGGTGCCAACCTTTCTAAATCCATCCCTTCATGCCTACTGAAGGCACTCTGGTGTACTAAATGTTAGAAAACTTCTCAGTGAAGTCCGGAAAAGAAAGAAAAACACACTCAAACTGGTGGTAGAAGTAGTAAATATTACTGAGAGAGTAGAAATGCATTAGTGTCTGCCGACATACAGAACTGCCATTAAAAATGATGTTCTGAGTCAGTAAGGGTAGCTTATGTCAAAGTTTCCCCTGTACATTAGTGTCATACTACCAAAACAAGCACCAAACTGAAAATGCGTCTTACTACAGAAACACACTTACCTCATTTCTTTTTCATGACGTTTATTTTCCCTTATTATATCGTACATTGGATCCTCATGCGCCTTTAAAGTGGAAAACAGAAAATCCAATGTGGGTAAAGAAATGTCCTTATCAGTGTCACATTTAAAAAAATAAACCAAAGCAACCCAACGCAAGGGGCTTTCCTCAAAGAATAAATGCGTTTAGCAAGCTCTGAATTCACAAATACACTCTCAGACTTGGTACCGTTAATCTGAACCGAGTGTTCTGCTTTAGGAAAAGCTTATCTAGTAACGTCACCAATGAAGGGGACTCTCCTGAGGTGTACCACCTCTCTCCGATCACAGTTCACTAAAAGAACCCCATATCTATACACTATAGGAACAGCTGGATGTGGAGGGAATACTGAAGCTCAAAATAATGAGCAGAGCCCTTATAGCATATTTTAAAAACTTGGATACAAACACCCAGGAATACAGGAGCAAGGAATACAAGACAAATGGATAATTAAGTTGGAGTTCTCCTAACGTGTTATGCGCTAGCGTGATTGGTTCTTAAATCAGCCAGTGTTATATTAAACGGGCATTGCAGCAAAAGATGGCTGTGAAGGAAGACAGCAGAAAAACTCTGCAGATGCTTAAGGCAAGTTTGTGCTGCGCCAGGATGCGACAAAAAGACTAGGTGATCATTTCTATCAGAAGATTCAGCAAACAAGTTCAACAGAGAGGAGGTATCAGATGCTGACCAGAGGTGGGAATTAAAACGTCAGTAGCAAATGAAAGATGTTGGGGCTGCACCATGAAGGGCCTTGTACATACAGCAAGAGAAACAGCCTAAGCAAAAATGAAGAATCAATGCAATCTGGTCATCGGAGCGGGCTAAAAATACTCTTTGCAGTAGCATTCTGATTGGACAGAAAAGTCCACATTGCATTTTTCAAGGATAAAAATAAGGGCATAAGATACCAAGTGATGAGAGCTCAAAATGTAGTTTAACAATGCAGAGCAACAGGAAAAGTTAAAAGGGGTCACACAGAAAGAATCTGCAGAACTGAAATGCAGCCTCACGTAAGCAAGAGATCAGACTTGTAGACAATGACTGGATTACAGACCTAGACAACAGGCTTCATGATGTGGTTGTTCACAGTAAGAGCAGAAGGCTTGAGGCAGCTGTAATGTGGGCAGCTCAAGCTTGGCTAAACATTGTGTGTTACGCTGACACTGTAATCACAAAAACTGAATACAGTGGTTGAAAAGGCTTCTTGAAGATTTCCAATTTTAATGTAAAAATGACTAATTTTCCTCTCGAAGAGCAGATTTTCTGAAAGGTAGTCAAACGTCCAACCACATCTGTAGCTTTTTCTTTATTAGGAGATTTTCAGCATCTATATTATACTGAGACAGAGGAAAAGTCCTTAATAAGGCATCATCTAACAGGCTGCTCTTCACCTGCAAAATTATGCATCACCATATATTAAAAAATACAAGCAATAATACTACAGTATTTGTACTCACTACTCTAAATTGTTCCAGTTTCTGATTGCCTTTAATAAAGAACGGGCATTCTTTGTCTCCTGTCCTGTGTCCGTAACGTTTACACCTCCAACCTTTAAAAAAAGCAGCAGCAGTGAATTTCATCTCTAAGATGTACCAGAAGGAAAAAAAAGCACACTTACAGGAAATATTTTCAATTTGTTGAAACAAACAACTAGATACAAGTATTATGCGAATAAACATACATAAAACGCATTATATGCATCTTATTACAGCCTTCAAGGTACTGGTAGCTTTTGTATCAATGTGATGCCAATCTACCTGGACCTTGTCATCTGTCCAGCAGACATTCTGCCCTCCCCCAGAGTAAAGAGTTGGCTATATGAAGGTCCAGTGAAATCCGGAACACTTTCAGCCTTACACTGCATGACTTTGACTTCTTTTCCCAAAGGCATCCAAAGCCCTTTTGTCGGGGCATGTGCCAGGAATTCTCGTGCACTTTCATTGCCTGGTACATCAGGTATGCAGTCTTCAGGCTTTGTTTCATTCTCCTATGGAAAAAGATAAGGACAGGAAGATCACTTGGGTTTTTTTTTTAATTATGTAAAAATTAACACTCCAAGCGTGCAGGCCTTCACTTAACATGGAACCTATTTCCCCTGTAATGTTTCTTTTTCTTGTAACACAAAGGATCCAAAATCCTTTTAACAGCAGTAAGTAATTTTATTTTTCCCCTCACCATTGAATTTTCCAGTCTGAACATTATTCCCACATTAATTCCATTCCTTCCCATTTATTTTAGTAATTTATTTAAATAAATAATATAAATGAAAACTTAACAGACAAGAAGAGACTTCTTTTTCCCCTTCCTGCCAACAACAAAGACTAAAATTAGTCTTTACAACACAGAGCAGTATTTTTTAGGTTAAATGCGCTAGATTATGGCTTAGGTGTATAAATTTGGCAAAAGCAATGATCATTATGAAACAAATGTATTTTTACACAATGATTTGAGCATAAGCAATGGAGAGGAATCCTGAAAAGATGCCATTCGAACTTAAAACCTGCTTCCCCATAAATGACTCCCCTCTGTCCACACTATCAAATACTGCATTAAGTGTGCTTGCTAAGGGGTGGTGAAAGAATTGTATCATCCTGTCTGATGCTGGTCATTTCACTCTGGATTCACCATGTCAAAGAGATGGCTTGTAGCTGAGAAGCTCCGAGTTTTCCCCTGGAAGAACCTACTTCTCTCTGTAATTTATATATGTAATGCAGAAACTTCATATAAATGGCTAAAAGATAAATGGTTATATGAGAATCCCTCGTAATGCTAAATATTTACTGCAATGTATTTACCAACCTTTATTAGCCCTGGGGGAGGTTTCTCATAGCTGAAAAACAAGAAAAATATTGTTACTCTGCAGCTTAGCACAGACAAGTACGTTGAGAAAATAACAGTATTTCAATGTTATAGAGTTAAAACCTTCACCTTACATTTTCCCTTATATTTTACACAACCAGTGACCACTAAGAACTACAGCAGAACACAGATACCTGGATGCAAGCAGACACAGTGCCTGTCATATCCGCACACGCATCACGTTGCGGCCATCCTTCAGATTCATATTCTTCGGGGGAACACCAACTTTCATCACACTGCTTTACAGGGGTTTGTGGAACATCCGCTTCAGCTTCAGTTACCATAAACGGACAATTCTCTCCTCTTTTTCTTGCAGCACCCCTGCCCAGGATTTCACCCATCCAAATTTCTTTACTCCACCACTGCCGAATCAGTCATACTCAGCTGAAAATGTCCAGCCAGACCGTTCCTTACATCTAGCTTTGCCAGCCAAACCTAGTATAAAATAATAATTTCTTCTTCTTATCTCCGTGTACTAAAGACGAAGCACCATTTCTCTGGCGTGAAGGGTAGGCATGAGGCTTGTTAACATGCAAACAGCAAGGGGGGTGCGACGCAGAGCGCAGCGACTCGGTACGTGCGCTCGGTTCAGTGCCGAGGCACTGAGAAGGGCTGTCACAACAGCTTTACGAGTGCTGCTCAGGGCGTTTCGTAACAAACAGATTTTTATTTTTGCTTAGAAAGGAAAAAAAAACCCATGTTCTTGTGAACTTTCACATCTTTTTATTCCACTAAACCCCTTTCAGTGAAATAGCATAAACCCTTTACAGCACCGTGGGCCACTGATGGAGTCATCGGGCAGCTCTCAAACCTTTTTATGTTTGGTTTTTGGGGTTTTCTTAAATCCTCTTTAGTGGAAACCGGCCGAGCCACCTCTGTTTCTACCTCTGTTTCTATGCTGCCACTCCCAGACTTATAGGAAGCCGGAGGAGACCCGTTTTCACCCCAAACCCAAGCAGTTTTCCAAGCGGCCGCGAAGCCCGGCAGGGAGCAGGGCAGGCACACCCCCCAAACACACCTGCTCCGGCCCTAATAACGGGACACGCTCCTAAAACGTGACGGCGCTGAGCCCCC